AGTTAGTGTTTTAGCTACCAATGATACCTGATGAATGTTAATAACATAAAAATAAGTACAATAGAGAAAGTAATTGGTAGATAAAAATTATCTCTAAATTTTTGGAATGGAATCTAACTGTAAAGAATGAAAAATGAGTGTGTCTTAAAAGAGAGTGTCACAATTTTTAATCCTTAAAAGTGTGATTTCACTCTTCACATAAAGATTTTACTCTAAAAGATTTATAAAGTATGTAAACGGATGAGGAATACATTATATTATAATAAATAATACAGTACATTTAAATGATAAAATATTCATTTTGGTTACGTATAAATCGATTTCATTCAAATTTAATTAAATTTAAAGTCATATTAAAAATTTCAAAGATAATTGATTATCTGATATGTTTCTAAACACAATAGTCTGTCAATAAGTAATGTATTGTCTACTGTCAATCAAAGATTTTTATTTTATTAGTGGCTGCATTTGTCGTGATATTTCTTATATAAAACTGCGTCATATTTACATTTTTATTTTTTTCTCTATTACTTTAATTCCTTTCAGCCTTAAACAATCATCTTCTCTATTTTGTATCCTAGTGTCTTTATTTTATATTATTCGCAAAAGACAAATAACGTATGTAAAATTTATAGTGATACATAAAATGTCATTGTTCAAATTGACACATGGAATTTCTTGTTTTTTTTTCAGTATATTAAAAATAGATAAGTTTTTATTCGTAATATTAAATAAGTCCGAAAAGATTTCTGAAAATTGCTTATTTTTGAAAATAACCAATATGAAAACGATGATGTAAAATTAATTAATGATATTAATTAAAATTTACAAAGAGAAAAAAATTACTCCTTTAATGGTGAATAAATGACCAGAAGTGACATTTAGATACAAATAAATCATCTACTTAATATCAACTAAATATCATATATATTAACGCATATATTTTATGAATAATGTGATCATTATATAAAGAAGTTAATTAAATTAATAAATAAATTTAAAAAATGTTGTATAAAAACTGTACTACTTATAAAGTATACACTATTTATAGATATTAAATAATGTGTATATTATTTATATAATAATTTATTCACAAATTCATCTATACGTATATATGTATATTTAAAATGTATGATATTATTAGTAAATGATGTAAAATAAATTTTTATGTAACATAAAGTTATATAAAAATTTATATAAATAATAATTAAATACTTAAAACGTACAACATAATTAATACAGCTTTAAGTGTGTATGTACCTGGACATATTTGTCTTATAGTTGTATTAAAAAGGAGGTTAACAATTTAGCTAAATTAAATTATCACTGGGTATTCGATTCAGGTGTAATGGTTCATTTAACGTATATGTTTTTATTATTGATTGTTAATTGTAAGTTGTTAATTTTTATATCTTGAACTTAAACTTATATTTTATTTTTGTTACATAGACCAAAATTATATTTTATACGTTTATACATTCAATACCTCTTAAAAGGATCTTAAAACCGATTAATCGTAATTTAAGTAGGACTTATATACAAACGATTTATGTATCACTGACCCATCTGTATATACAGAAAAGTATGTAGTACATAGATATTTTATGCATATAGAAACATAATTTTCATAAAAGAATAATTTGGATTATACATAAAAATCCAATTTTAGGAGCTCCACATTGTATCTTCGTAACAACTAGTAGTCTGCAGATCACAGTTCTGTAAGTACAAATGGTATAGCTTTTATCTGAAGCAAATGCTGATATAGCAGCTCTAGATCGCCATACTAATAAATAGTAAATCGCTATAAATAAGAAATTGTAAAAAATATCACAATTTTTTAACTTGTATGTTCTCGGCATAAAAACTCTGTAAACTCACAGACAAGTATTAATAAGTATAGATTAATTGTGACAAAAAATTCTCAAATCTATAAAAAAGAAAAGTAATTGTCATACAAGAATTATGGTATTGTCGTTATTATTAACGGCTATTGGATTCTTAAGAGGCGGATCTTAAATGGTCTTCTGTTTATCGGTTGAACGTAATAATTTTCGTGGAAGGATATCGTACAATACAAAAACTTTTATCGCATTTGAGAATCCTCTAAAATTAAAGTATATGTATTAGTATGTGTCTGCAATTTGAAATTGATGTCACGAACAACAATTTTTTTTTGTTATGCTGTTTAAACATTTTTTAAATCAGACGTAACGTCTACACTTTTCGTAATATTTGTTTGATACAAAAGCTTTGGAATTTGTACGTCCAAAATTGAAAGTTATAAACTAATAAAGTAATAAGAAGAATAAAATTGTTGAAATTAGATTTACATGTAATTAAAACGATATCGCTTTACAAAAATTTATGTATATATGTGCGTACGGCATTGAATTGCAGTATATAAGAATGAGTCAATGCGTCACATTTTATCAGTAAAATAGCAATTTCCTTCAGAGTTCGTTTTTTGAAATTAAGATCTCATTAAGAAATAGATTTGTATATATTATAACGCAGTATCAATTATTCTTTTTCTGGACGATCATAGGTATAATAATTTGGCCCTTAGGATCAAGAGAGTAATTATGAATGTCAGATGATTGTTGGTCAAGTAATTCTAGAAGTTCTCCTATTTCGCAAGTTCTTTTCTAATGAGAACTTCTTCTCCAACGGGAAGTTCTTCTCTCCGGCAACTTATTCTGTATCGTAGAACGGCTTTAATTCGGCGGGAAGTTTTATATTATCCATAATATTTTCAATACTTTCAAGAGAACTATTCGCAACATATTCTGATGGTTCTGAAGTCTTCGTTGCGGATCTGTATATATATATATATAAAATGTGATAAAAAAATTAAAGAGTTATAAAATGTAATATAGTATTTAATAATTATATTACTTGATAATTATATAAAAAGCCTCATCTCTTCAATCTAAATATACGCTTAGAATAGTAAAATTCTGTAGTAACTTATGAATTGTTAAATTAAATACTTATATTTGTGGTTTTGTATATATGAAAGTATAACTGTCCCAAATTTATTGTTAGGATATATTATAATAATTAAAAAGGAAAAAGGGATACGAGTCTAAAAACAATCAACATAAAATGACAAACTGTACAAATAGTTAAAAAATTAAATAAAACATGTCATGAAATTAAAAAGATAATTATAATTTGACAATCAGAAGATGAACAAAACAAACGTTTTGATCCTTGTTGGATCATTTTCAATGTGACAAATAAATTAATAATAGAAATGTAAACGATAGAAAAAGAGTAATGCCGACATTCATTGTATATGTATAATGAGTTTAAACTCATTATACATATACAATGAATGTCGGCATTACTCTTTTTCTATCGTCATTATTATTTCTTATGTGCTTGTCTTATAATATCAAAGATAATTTTTGCCTCTTTCTTTTAATTGTAACTTATTACTTGCGACTTGTTTTGTACCTTTCTTTTTATTGTTTTCGACTCGATTTGTACATTTCTTATTATTTTTATTTACTTCCATCGTTAATTTATTATTATAATTTATACTTGCTAACAGAAAGATGTTCGTCCTTATACACACGCACGGTTCGGAGGAGCACATTTGTGTCAACTATAATTGTTTGTTTCATTTCCTTTCAATTTGGAGCGAGTTTTATAGTTAATATTGCGTCCGAATGCAAATTTTATTTAATTTTTTATGTTTTATCTACGTTACATTTCTATTATTTATTTATTTGTCATTGAAAATGATCCAACAAGGATCGAAACGTTTGTTTTGTTCACCTTCTGATTGTCAAATTATAATTTACCTTTTTAATTTCATGACATGTTTTATTTTATTTTTTAACTATTTATACAGTTTGTCATTTTTGTTGATTGTTTTTAGGCTCGTAGCCATTTTTCCTTTTTAATTATTATAATTTATTAATTTTATAATTTAATATGATATTATGTTATATGCGAAATAAAGGTACAATGGTACATAAAGAGAATTATTTGGGGAATTTATCTTATATATATGACAATCTTCGAACAACTTCGTATTTCGAAAAGCTTTATGTTAATCTCTGTCTCATTCACTAATAAAACTATCAATAAAATACAAAATGAATGTAATTAATTTCATTGAAGTGCAGGGTATAAATCTTTGAAACATTGCATTGTATTATGAATATTTAAAACAATGTACCACAACTATCATTTTTTCGGAATAAATTTTAAGACTGAATTCGTTCTTGAAGGCACATTTAATCATAAAATATATGTGTATGCATAAATATAAACTTCATTTCCTAAAATCTAACTTAAAAAATTATTATAAATATAAATGGAGATGTAGTTCATTATAAAAATTAAACTATTAGGTGTTGGAATTAATTCGTAGCGTTTT